AAAACAAGAAAGACTGTACCAATGAAAGAATAATAATTACTGTTAAATATTCTATCACTATAATACATTCGTTGTGTGAAATTTACAAGCTATTTTTCACTTTAGTACTATTGCTTGATTTTATAGTTATAAGCTCATTGGTGGGCAGATGCTCAGAACTTTGGTAAAATATAAAACATGTAATATAGAAATAGTGTATATTTGCATTTATGGATAAGACACTAGAGGCTAAAATCAAAAATTGTTTACAGCTAAGGCAAATTAGCATGATAATTGTAGTGAATAAGTAAGCAGATAATATTCAGGCTCATGATTAGTCAAGCTATATGCTAGGCTACGATGAAGGATGCAAATAGCACTAATACACCGAATTAAATGGTTCAGAGTCCCAACATTTACAAAAACCTTGTAATAGTGTCAGCCCTGAGGAAGCTTTTGTCAGCAAGTGTATGTGTATCTGAGTATTCACATTCATTACCGAATACATGCAGAGAGCAATGAGAAGATTTCTCCTAGTTTAGAAATAATATGACATATGACTTTCATGATGTAGTCTATGATACTCAATACAGAAAAAGCAAAATGAATACAGCAGCATCTTCTAAAATCTTTACAAAATTGCTTGGGAATTTAGCTATTTCAGGAATGCACAGCCCAGAAATAGCTGCTTGCAATCTTATATGCCAAAAATTGAGTAATTTTTCTGAAGCATATGCTTTAGAAATTTCTGGGGAAAATAGTGTGCAAGCAACAACTCATAGGAAGGATGTATTCAGTGTATACAATATGGAAAACAAGCTGATTTGAAGTGTAAGAATTAGAAGAGTCATTTGTAGTACCTCAGAAAGAACTTTTTTTTTTTTTTTTTTTTTTTTTGGTGTTTGCTGTCTCTTCTATTTAAAAATTCCTCAATATTTTTATTGTAAAATTTTATTGGTACATATTTGCAGTACATCATGATTACATTCTTTTGGGGGAGTTGGTGCATGTACACGAAACATCTTTATTTATCCCCTTTTCTTGTTCATTCCTTACTCCATCTCTTGGTCCCCTGTCCATTTACACTAGATCTATTTTATCGGGATCTTAAAGCATGCAGGCATAGAAAAAAATTTTATGAGTTGCTTGTGCATGACCTTTGCTCCAGGGACTCTAGCAAATGGGTTAATGCTTGCTTGATTGATTTGAGAGAACAATGACTAAGGATACCATGATGTTTTCTTTGCCTCTGTTATTAACCCATGTGTACAAGTCTCCTCCATTTGCCATTACAAATGTATTCTTGTCAGAATCAAATGCAGATAATTTATGTCACTTCTTTCTAAAACAACTGTGTTCTTTTTTTTAACCTCTTAAAAATTGCTCATCCTTCCTCCAGTGTATGTTTGTGCCATATAGCCCAGCCTTCTTTCCAGTTCTCTGGATCATGATTGGACAATGGATTCATGGTGCTATTTTATAGAATAAACATATTCTTTAGTAGCTTTCTTCCTTCTTTTGTTCTTTGGGCATTTTCTAGCTCATGAGTCATGCCCCACTGGAAGGAAGTATGGAAACTTAAAGTGACTTGCTTTTTACTACTATATTTTCATGCTGACTTAAGGGTTATATTGATTTTATATCTGTGATGTCTTATTGTTGTTCATTAAGAATTAACTGTATGAGGAGAGCATGGCTGAAGGATAGGGTGATTTAAATCTAGTTATGTTTTTCTTATGATGCAGTAGCAACTTCCATGGTCAAGTTTTGTGATGGTAAATGCAGTTTCCTCTGAATGGCCTTGCCTTTTCCATCTGTCCTTCCTTACTAGTGAAAGTATCATCAGCAAATCCTGTTATGGTTAATAGAGTAATGTGGTGAGAGTAACAGTGAGGTGTAAGGAAATCCCAAATAGCAAAAGAAAGTTGATTCGGCCCATCTATTATTTTTTAGGATTAGTCCTAGTAGTTACTCATATAGATCATTGACATACATAAATTGTTAAGCTCTTAATTAGGTGATGTAACAGTTGACAGCATAATTAAATTTATATTTCAAATTCATGATCCTCAGCTATGTGCTATATACAAGGCTTCTTAAACTATCCAGACTTCATTTATTTAGTTTTTATAAGAAATAGGAATTATAGCAAAACCTACCTCAAAGAGTTGTCAGGAAGTTTAAATGAGATACTTAGTAAATGATCAGTAAACACAAGCTTTGTCATATTTTTATTTGTCAAATTTACTTATTACTAGAGGGTGTGCTTAGCTACTTGGGCTATTTAGGGAAAGCCAGCATCATATTCTGCATTTTTCAGAGTAACTATTTTTCTGTGTGTATTTGTAGGATTTATTTGATTACTTAAACACCAATATCTAACTGTGTTATTTTAATCACAATTAAGTGGATCTACTGTTATATTCATTTTGCATAAATTAGAATGACCTAATTTGTCTTTTATCTAAATTTGTAATCAATGTCTTTTATTTTACTAAATAAGTGAGATTTCCAAATGAGAAATGTAGTAATGATGGACAAGAATTTTATATATATATTTGAAATAGCATTTTCTATCTAAAAAGAATGCTCTTTGTGGAGTTGTTTCTGTCATCACCACAAATTGAAATTTATGCCTGGAAAGGGATAATTTTACTTACTTTGGAATACTTTCCAATTACAATTATCTTACTAGAGTTTATATTATAAATTACAAGTGTTGTAGTGGGTTAAATTATACACAAACATGGAAAGTTTAGCATAGTTTTTTATGGGTTAACAAAGGATTTGTGTTATTTTTTGAAATTCGTTACTATGTACAGTATACTTTAAATTAGTGTGCTTAATATATATATATCAGCACATATATTTCGTTATTACAGATGGAACTAAAATGTGATTTCATGGGAATTCATAGAAATTTTAGGAATGTAAAGTGTGTAAGGAAAGAACAGAGAACACAACATAATAATACCATAAGGAGTGGCTATGGAGGGTAAAGGGTACAGAAAATAATTCTGAGATACGGAATTTAAACTGAGAGTTTAGGGATGATTAGTACAAAGAAAGGGAGTTGAAGTAAAATGCAGTCTTCTATGCAGAGGATGGCAGAGAAGGCATAGGAAAAGCAGAGAGGTAAGAAAACTGTAATTCAAGTATATAAGCAAAATATTCAAGTGTTATTAAAGAAGAAAGCATTTGAGAACTTGGCTAGTAACAACTGAGATTACATAAGCACCAGCCCCTGATGCTCCTATAGAGCTATTAAAGGTTGTGAACTTTTTCTGAAGGAAAGAGAAACTTGAAGGTGAGAGAGAATCACGGAAAAATGGTTAAGGAAAGTTTTCTTTTCACATTTGCATTTTAAAAAATTCCTCCTTTAGCAGAGTTGGAGATAGGCTGGAAGAGAGACTGAGTAGAGGGGTGAAAACCACTCAGTAGGCAGTTATAATAGGTAGCAGTATGAATTAAGGCAAGTATGAGAAAGGAAAGGAAATTTGGAGAATTTTGAATTATGGATTTTATTTAAAAGATCAAATTGACAGGACTTTATGACTCATGTCATTCGGCATGAAGGAAGAATCAGCATTGATTTCCAAAACTGAGACTGGTGATACTGTGTTACTGAGAGGGGAGTATAGAATGAGAGGAAGGAAGAGAAGGAATAATATCTTATGTTAGATTTTATATGCAGAACCACCTACTTATCAATGGTTTTCTAAACATAGTTAACCAGAAACCCAGATTTAAAATTCTTAAAGTATAACTTGAAAGTAAAGATGGCAGAGATATCATTCTCTATGATTACTTAGTGTAAGTATACATATGTCATACTATAGTATTTTGTAAAGGTAGGTGATGTAAATTAAAATAAAGAGAAACAAAAAATGCTCAGAAAATACAGTATAGAAAGTGCCAGGAAATTGGAGACTGGCAAAAGGTTCCCGTGAGGTGGTGGTAAAAATGTAAACAGTAGAAATGCCACAAGAGCTAAGGGACCAGAATGGTTAAGAAAGAGGGAAGGCGTGAGGTAAGGACAGGAAACGGCTGAAAACACGCACAAGCCAAACTATCAGGAGTGGCTACCTCGAGAATAGGGAGGGAACGAGAAGGGAAAAACTGGGAATTTTAATTTCGTATTTGAATTTTAAGATACAGTTGTGTTTTATATTATTACTATACGTTTTTGAATGTCTGTATGTTTAACTTCTACTATCTTAATGTAAATTGTAGCCAATTAAAAACAAAAAATAAAATAAAATAAGCTTAATCAGAACAGAAAAAGGAGGGAAAGGGCAACATGGAATGGTCAGCAATGTCATACCGCAGAGAGGTTAAAAAAAGATGAGGGCTGACAGAGCCTTTTAGTTTGATATTTAGATTTGGTCACAAGTGACCTTATTAAAGAAGTTTCAGTGAAAGGCTAGGGGCAGAAGGTCGACCTCACTGGTGGAAAGCAGAAAGGAGAATGTAAATAAGGGACACAGTCATATCGTAAAGGAGACCCTTGAGAGTGAAAGGGGTGGGGGGATATTAGAGATTTTGGGCCAAAAGTAAATAAACTCAACATCCTTTTGGACCCAAACTTTCCACAGAGCCTTCCTGTGAGTCAGTCACCTGAGAACGAAGCAGTTGGCTTGTCAGCCCCATGATTACAGATCTCAGCTTTTCTAAAGATTGGATTTGCAGGTTGTAAAAGGAAATAAAGCAGATGCTCAGCAGGGTTTTTTTGAGGGAAAGGACTTGAACTTATTTATGTGCTAGAGGTACTTATCTGTAGAGGACAGAAACTCTAAGGTTACAGAAATGAGTTGAGATAGTAATTAAAAGAAACCTTTAACTTGGAAAGTAAATTTGACTATTTTGGGGAATGAAGTACAAAATGCAACATTTGCCATGTTCCAAAGTATAAGCTAAATGATATATTTTAAATAAATTTATACTGAATAATATTTATCTGGCAGTATAAGTTAGTGAATTTTTCCTTTTTTTTTTTTTTTTTTTTTATTCTTCTTCTAAAGCCGAACAACAACTTATCCTTACACAGAAACACAGATGTACAGCCAAAACACTGGAGGGAATTATTTTGATACTCAAGGGAGTTCTGCACAGGTGACTACCGTGGTCTCCTCCCACAGTATGGTGGGCACTGGTGGGATTCAAATGGGCGTCACTGGAGGACAACTTATCAGCAGCTCTGGAGGAACCTATCTGATTGGCAATTCAATGGAGAATTCTGGTCACTCAGTGACACACACAACTCGAGCCTCCCCAGCAACAGTAAGTATTTTGTGATTTTATTTTCTAAATTTAACTTCTTGGTAGCTTCTAGTACACATTTTTCCTTAGTGAAAGAACTACAAAGATGAGACTGGAATAAGCGCATGTTAAGCAGTAGTATTTTGGTAGCTTTCTGAATTTAATATATGTGGTATTATGCAGAATGTTACTGATATATATATATATATATATATATATATATAATTAAGCGAATTAGGATATTTTCATAAGTAATGGGAAGTAAGGAATTTTTCTGATTTTAATCGAATTTCTTCAGTGATATTCACTAAAGTACTTTAAATCTTACCAAAAAAACTTATTTTTATGCTATTCTTACTTTATAAAACCCAATCAGTAAAATAGAGAATAAAATATAGTTTACTTGGAATGTTCACATCATTTAGTAGTAGCATTTTTTTGTCAGCTCATCCCCAGAGAACTTAGATTATGTATGGAAACATATTCTAAACTTAGTCATTAAGGTTTTTTTGTATTCACATATGTTTTTACTATTATTCGCTTAAGATCTTTTAAACCAACTCACTTTTAACATAGAAAAACATATACAATTGTTTTTTTTAATATGTACTGAAATCATTACTTAAATAGTTAAAAAATTTAACATTGCTATATGAAATGTTACATTTTACAGAGAAACACTTTGGGAAGCAATAACATGGATGATTCACATACAAAGAACTTCTGCAAACTATAACTATAGTTGTGATCAAATAGTATATTAGGAACACAGCTATATATATGAGTTTTTAAAATTTTAAATATGGTTATTTTAACACAAGATATTTTAATATGTTGAAATGATATCAGAAATAACTACAGAAAATTGTACAGAATTTGAAATCATCAAAGTCCGTATGCCAAACTTTCCTTTTTCACCTCAACTAAGCCTATGGAGAAAAATGATCACTTAAGCCAAAGTTGCAATGGCTGATTTTCTGCATGTTTTATATACAAAGGTGCTAAGCATTTGAATGAAGGAACATACCCTTTCTTACCATAAAATAAGGTAGAGATAAATTTGGGAGAAAATAACATGAGAAATTTATAGTTTTCATTTTATGTGTTTTCCTCAAGTTGCTCTATGTACTAGGTAAGTACTTTGCATACACTTTGTATATTTGCAGTGATTACCTGTGTTAATATTTTCATCAGTTAGTGCTTTTTGTGTCATCTATTTTTAAAGCCCTTTGTTTTTAATTCGCTATTTCTTTCTAACATTGGAACTGGTAACCAGCTGTTTGGAATAGAATGTTTCTTTTTAGTAATTTCTTCTTTGTTTTTCAAGGATTCATATGTGTACCTATCTCTTGCTTTTAATGATATGAAATATATAATATTTCTAAGTCTCTACTCCTATCAGCATGTTTATATAAGTTAGAAACTAAAGAGCGCTGCCACTAATAAATCATAGCTTCTCTGGAGCTCAGATCCCCTATCAATAAAATGAGGGATTAGCTAGATTAAATGATTTCCTTATTTCTTCTTGTCTTTGAGTCATGGTTGTTACAAAATAATTATAAAATATCCTAGATACAAAAATAACTGTATCTTTAGCAAAATAAAAAAGAAAGAAAAGAGGTAGAAGAAAGTTACCAGTATATTAGAGCATTGGTAATAAAGGCCACCTGGAAAGTCATTTTTAGTGAAAAGGAAAATACTTGCATTTATTAAGGCTAGAAAAAAAAAAAACCAGGAAAAATGTGCTTTCCCACTTCTTTTTCATCCATTCTCTCTCATGCTATCATCTGTGTTGGTTACTTTTCCCATTGCTGAGACAAAATACTGACACTGAAAGTTAAAGGAAAGGTGTATTTCAGCTCACAATTTGTGGAGGTTTCAGTCCAGTCGGCTGGCTGCAAAGCAAGGTAGAGGGCAGACAGGGATTGCAGAGGAGAAATAGTTTATGACACATAGAAGGTAGCAAAAGCAACAAAGAAGGGGCCTTAACAGTATCTTTCTGCCGCTTTTATCTTATGCAACCTACATAGGGCAGGTAGTATTCAATCCTTAAACCTCAGTGTTACCCACTCTGGATCCAGCCACCTCAGAAAAAGCCCCACCTATGACTGCATGAGGCTTTGGAGGAGCATCTAGACATAAGCCATAACACAACCATCATTCCCGCCCCATCTTTTCCTGCTCACCTTCTCAAACCACTCTTGCCTTCACATTAATTTTTTGCTACCTCTTAAACATCCTCAGCACCTGAATTTAGAGTTTTATTACAGTTTATATAGTTGCAGACACTAAGAGTGTAAATTTTATGATTTAAGCTCTTTTGGGGGGGAGTAAGGGATACCTCTTCTGTTTCTGTATCATGTATGAAAGGTAGCATTATTACTTAATTATTCAATACACAAATTGATGTGGTTTTTTTATTATATTCATTGATAAACTAAAATCTATAAAATAATTGAATTATAGTAACTAAAAATAATTGAAAATATTTGAAAATTTTAATTCATTATATCCGTTATACAAATTAATTTTCCCTGAAAAGATTCATATTTGAGGTTTGTTTTATTAAGGATAAAAATGGTTGCAGAATTTTTTTTTTCAAGAATATTTCCTTTATAACAAAAGAAACACAAAAAGATAAGGTTTCTAGGGACTGGGGATATAGCTTAGTGGCATAAGCACCTGCCTGACAAGCACAGTAAGGTCATGAGTTTGATCCCCCGTACCACAAAAAAAAAGATAAAAAATCATAAAGTACTCCTATCAAAATCATATGGTGATATGTACACACTCAACTAAATATTTCTCCACTAGTGTTCATTGTATTACTTTGCATTTAGTTATCAAAACATCTTTCTGAAACAGAGCTCCTTTTTGATGCTACTAAAGATTTGCATTGGCTTGATTCACAATGAATTTATGATTCTTAGTTTATAGTTTCACATTTTACTGACATTAATAAAGTTTAAGTACTATAGACTTATTGAAGAATTCCTACCATTCTTTTCTTTCCAAATGTTAAAAAAATCAGTATGTTTTTGGTTGTTCCAACTCCTGAAAAAAAAATTTTTTTTTTTTTTGGCAAGTGCCAGATCATTGAAAGCAACTTACTTGATGTCATATCTTTTTCATTCACTATAGAGCCATAAAATGCATATACAGACAAACATTGAGCCAAACTATGCCATGTAACTTCAGTAACCTTTCCTATTCTCTGTTGTTCCATCTATAATCTATAACATGATTGATACAACTGATTGCATAGCAGTAGCCAAAATTTGTGACTGCAAACAATAGAGTCGGCCCTCTACACCTATGAGTTTTATATAGATGGAAAACTAACCCGAGAGTGCAGTAAAATTGTGTCTGTCCTGAACATGTACAGGCTTCTTTTTCTTATTGTCTTCTCTAAATGATGCGTAAGATGACTGTTTACCTAGCATTTACACTACCTCACTTATTATACCTGATTGAGAGATGGTTTATAGCACAAGTGCAGATGTTTGCTGTTGAATAAAACTAACATCATTTTATAGGAGGAACTTGAACATCCACTGACTTTTAAAGTCAGAAGGGATTCCCTTCTGAGGGGTCCCTCAATTGGGGCCATTCCTTATGAACCCCAAAATAAGTGGAATATGTAATTTATTCAGTTGATGTTAAACTAGTTAGGTTTGGATACTTCAGAATAGCAAGTAAATACCTTTACTCAATTCCTAACTGACAAAGATTCTTGCTACAATTCTCAGAATAACTGTATTGACTCCCTTTTTAACATTTGACTTATTTCTATACAGAAATACTTCCATTTAAAAATACTAGGAATAAATTCTTGCCACAAAGAAAAGTACTTTAATATGCAAATCGATTTTCAAGGTATGCTAATGAAGAAAGTTTAAGATTTGAAATAAAATCCATTACTAAGAGAAGTAAAAGATTAGCACTTGCAGTATTCAATATGTAACTTAGAACTATTGCTGTATATTAGAAATATCTCTTAATCAGTAATAGTGTTTCAATTTGAGCACATTGACTTTCTTTAGTTATTAACTTTAAATAAAAACTTCTTACATAAAATGCTTCATTTTTGACTTCTGCATTGTGAGTTTTCAGTTTTCAAGGTAGATAGAACATCATTGTTTTTAAAAAGATTACAATAATAGCAGATTAAATTTTATATGAGGATTAAATTTTATATGATTCTATTACAGTACAAACTACCAGTGTGCATGTTTAGTCAAAGGACTATTGCTCCTTTTATTTTCTATATTTTAATTTGGTCAATGAGAGTCCATGTGTTTATAAATTTATATAAAATATATAACGTTTTTGTTTGTATTAATATAAATACATGCTGTAAAATTGGGAATATTTAGATTGTGTAACATTTTTTGTTGAAACATTACTGAATATGAGTTCAGCTAAGTGGCAACTTGAATAAATGTTTTAGGCTTCATTAAATTAATGGTTGGGATCTATTGTTTTTTCAGTAGTACATGGACATTATAGCGAATCAGTTAGATATAGTCAGAACTCTGAACTCATATACTTTCCTTCTAACTATATGACCATAATGTTTCCCTACATGTATTTGCTTATCTGAAACTCTAATATAGTTTTGATTATTTTTCTGTATAATGATATCATTTAAAGAATTTTGGAACCTCAAAGCACAACTTAAACTTGCAAAATAAAAAATTTGCAAATGTAGTTAGTGACTTTTGCATGCTTATCACCACATACTTGTATAAACCTGTATAATAATTAACAATATGCTTCAAGAAGTTTATTTAGTCCTCCATTGAGTATTATTTATAGTCATATAACCAGACAGTTATCTGTGGAGTTTTGTGTTTACATTTAGTAATTATATATATTAAAGCACTCTTGCTAAAACTTAAATCCCACCAAGAGTCACTAAGACAATGTATGATGATGTTAGTATTATCCACCCCTTTTTAAATGTAAAATATTATAATTCAGTTATTTAGAGGAAAATTGGGTTTCCCATCTGCTGCTAT